ACCCAAGTTCATCGGAAGACAACCCACACCAATCAAGTACTCCATTACCAAAGTAACAACCTAACCTCAGTCAGAAGACATGATGAAAATTCCTTAATCTCACAACACATGGACAGACTCAACCATAATTTCAACTGGGAAACTGTCAGCATCTTAGACTAAGCTAAATCCAAAAATGCAAGGGAATTCCTGGAAGCTTGGTATTCAGACAAGTCAACCATCAACTGGCACATAGAGATAAACAGCATTTACATACTTTTCAAAAGAGACAATAAAAAAGAAACAAAAATACCAGAACACCTCCTTGCCAGCAATCAACACTCAGAGAAGCGGGGATTAACACCAGACAAACAATCAAGCAGTAAACAACAGCTTAATCTAGGAACTACCAAGGAAAAAACAACTCCCCCACCAACACTGACAGGGCAAGTTACTGTATATAAACAGAGAACAAACCCCACTCCATTCTAGCATTAAAGATGTTACCTAGACAGGTAATGAAATGTCTGCGAGAAAATAGCCAAGCTCAGAGAGCCCCAAGGACTCTAAAAAAAACAAAGCCAAAAGCCCAGCCCAGCCCAGCCCCACCCAGGAACTTTTTGCAAAGGCACATTTTGGCATGCTATGGCTCAAGGGGCTGCTTTTGGCTTTTTTTTTTTTTGCAGCCAAAGCCTGGCCCGGTCTGGCCCAGCAGCCAGGCTGGGCACACCTCATCAGCAGCAGGAGCAAGAAGATGGCGAAAGTCAGCTGGGGAGGTGGAGCACAGGGCGCCAGGGGAGCAAAAGGGCATAGATGGGGGGGAAATAGGCGGGTGGGGGGAGTTGAAGCAGGTTGTAAGTGTGGGAGGGCTGCTAAGCAGCTGAATTTTGATCACATGACCGTGAGGGCATGTAACTTCGGGCACTAGTCGAAAGTCACTTTTTTCAGTGTGTTTGTAACTTTGAATGCCGAACAACGGTCGTAAATTGAGGACTACCTATACAAAGTTGGTTTATTTGATCAAGGTTAAAATAACATACATTGTTACTTCTGGCTACCCTTTTTGGACTTTTTGCTGACACCAGGATTGAAAAGATGATGTTTTATGGATTTGTTTATAGATAAGAGATGGGATATGGGATAAACAGATAAATGTTTGTAACTTTAGAGGGAGTGAAGAGTTACTAAATTTGTTTATACTTGTGATGAAGGTTGGAAGTCACTTCTTTATATATTTCTTTATACTTGTGATGAAGGTTGGAAGTCACTTCTTTATATATTTCTTTATACTTGTGATGAAGGTTGGAAGTCACTTCTTTATATATTTCTTTATACTTGTGATGAAGGTTGGAAGTCACTTCTTTATATATTTCTTTTCTTTTTCTTTATTATATATTTTGTGAGGGCTTTTGGACTTAAAGCTACCTGAGAAGTATTTAAATATAAACCCCCAAAACTACTGTATAGAATTCTGGAAACTAAATTCACTCAGTTCAACCAGATTAGAAGGCTTTTGTGGATATATGACATTTCTGTAAAAACTATGGCCAAGAAAAAATAGAAATTGAAAGTGGTTGATTACATGCTTTTTCTAAGGAATGGGGGCTTCAGTAAAGAACTTCAAGCCTTTTGGATGGGACTGACAACCCCAAATAGGTTTCTGACCCATTTTAAAGCACGCCCTGTTGCTGCAGATTAAGTGCAGTACCCAACCACAAAAAGATTGCCCACTCCTCTCATAGAGGAACAGAGGAAAAAAAAACATCCTCTCATCTTTAGCCAGGCTGCTGCTTTTGAGATGCTGGCACTCACTCATCTGTTGCTCACTCACCTGTTTGAAACGTGGTAACACAGTTGTGCGGTAGCCATGGTACAAGTAGACTGCCCCCTGGTGGTTGTCTTCCAAGGGGGCACCAACAACCACATCATTAAAGCTGTCATGATTAAGATCTGGAACAGCTAGGAGAGAGTAGCCGAAGCGAGCGTCCTGAGGCTTTAGGTCAGGAAGGAGGGTCCCATTGAAAGCCAGAAGCGACTTCAAAAGAGAAGGAGAGAAACTTTTTAAAAGCAAAGAGACTTTCCTTTCTTATGTCTGTATCTACTCATCAGAAAAAGTTGTACTTGCACTGCCAGTCAAATATTGAGATTGGTTGTAAATTGAAAAAATCTCACTTTATTGCTTCTCCATATGGAACTTACCTGCCCAACCCTGTAAAGGTAAACGCGCCCCGTCTCTTTGTTCTGTGGGCCCAGATACATGGGGGCAGCCACAAGTAAGACATCTGTGATACCATCTCCATTCACATCCACGGGGCAAACCTCACTGCCAAAGTAGGATCCAATCTGCACAGGACAATGAAGACTGTGTAAATTGCCAGATTCTGCAATGTGAAACGCAGGTGTTATTTTGGTATGTCTGCAAGGGCAGATCTACATGGACATCTCCAGATGTCTCCTGATTTATAATACACATGACACATGCTCCAACTCATGCTCCTGGTGGAATAGTCCCTGAATGCTTTTAGGATAGTCCTTCAGCCAGTCTAGAATTCTATGCTCTATCAAGTACAACATGCTTTGGCCTTCCAGTGGGAAAATAGCAGACTGAGCAGTTCCCTTTGAAATGGGGACGGTTGGGAGGGTGGAGCTGGTGTCGCAGCGATACAGCGGGCGATCCTGGGCTCCCAGGATGGCAGCCGATATCTCCTCCCCCGGACGGTCCCGATGGACCTAAGCCGTCCCGTAGAGACGGCGATCGCAAAGGGCGCGTCCCGCGGATCTCAGGGACGCCGCAAGTCCCAGATCGATCCGGGGAGAAGCTCTTGAGCCCGGCGGAGGAGAGCCAGCCAAAATGGCTGCGAAAGCCGGGGCAGCTCCAAAGGAAGAAGGAAGAGAAGGGTGTC